TCATGAACAGAGAATACAGACTTGTGGTTACCGGGGGCGGGGGGTAGAGGGTGGGAAGGGATAGACTGGGATTTCAAAATTGTAGAATAGATAAACAAGATTACACTGTATAGCACAGGGAAATATACACAAAATGTTATGATAAATCACAGAGAAAAAAATGTGACAATGAGTGTGTATATGTCCATGAATGACTGAAAAATTGTGCTGAACACTGGAATTTGACACAACACTGTAAAATGATTATGAATCAGTAAAAAATGTAAAAAAAAAAAAGAAATGAAAGACAACACAAATAAATGAAAAAACATGGGAGACTTAATATGGTTAAGATGTCAATTCTACACAAAGTAATCTACAGATTTGATGTAATCCTATCAAAATTCCAATGACAGTTTTTGCAAAAATAGAAAATTTCATCCTAAAATTCATATGGAATCTCAAGGGTCCCAAAGAGCCAAAATAATCTTGACAAAGAAGAACAATGATGGAGAATTCACATTTCTTGATTTCAAAACTTACTACAAAGTTAGAATCATCAAAACAGTGTGGCACTAGCATAAAGACAGACATTTAGACCAATGTAATAGAATATAAAGAGTCAGAAATAAATCCTCATGTATATGGTCAAATGATTTCTGACAAGAATGCTGAGATCATTCAATGGGGAAAGGACAGTCTTTTTAATGAATGGTGCTAGGAACACTGGATGTTTGCATGCAAAAATATGAAGTTGAAACCTCCTTTACACCACGTTTAAAAAAAACCCAAAATGGATCAAATATCTAAACTTAAGAATTAAGACTAAAACTCTTAGAAGAAAACAGAAGAAAAAAGCTTCATGACATTAGATTTGGCAATGATTTCTTATCTGTAACATCAAAAGTACAGGAAACAAAAGAAAAAAATATATGTTGGACTTCACCATGACTGAGAATGTTTGTACATTAAAAGACACTGTTATATACTTAAAATGTGAATATACCTAACTCTCCTTCTGAACTGTATACTTAAAAATGGTTAAGATAATAAGTTTCATATGATTTTTCACTGCAATTTTTTAAAATGTAAATCTGAAAAATAAAAATAGACTATCAACAGTGAAAAGGCAATCCACAGAATGGAGAAGACATCTGCAAGTCATAAATCTGATAAGAGATTGATACTCAGAATATATAAAGAACTCCTTGAACCCAGTGTCTGTACTTGAACCCAGTCCCTGACCACAAAGCCTCTATTTTTAAGCAACAGCTAACTGTAGTTGACATGCACTGGACTTTGCTTTTTGCCAGGCACTGTGCTTAGAGTTTTATGTGCATCACTTCATTCTAACCACCTTATGAAACAGATGCTTATTGTTCCCATTTTATAAACAGAGAAACAGATTCAGAGAAGTTTAGTAACTAGCCTAAGTTCCACAGTGAGGTGACCCAGCTGAGATTAGAACCTGGGCAGTCTGTCTCCATAGCCCAGGTTCTTAAGTTCATCCTCTACTGCCTCCAAAAAGCAATTCCTCAGCACCCACTTGATGCAACACTGCAGAGACACTGCAATTGAGCATTACAAGATTGCATGGCAAAAATGGAAAGATGCTATGACAAAGTAAAAAAGCAGGAAATAAAATGGTACATACATTTTAAATACACCTAGGTAAAGCATGAATTTGAAAACAGCTGGTAGGAAATATGTGACACAATAATATAGATTCTGATAAAATTGTGAGATTATGGGTTGCCCTTCTTTTGCTTTACATTTTAATGAGGTTACATGGGGGGAACTTCCCATCTCCCTCTTTAAGTCAAGTCCTCAGACCTCTATGAGGAAGGATCTAGAAATACCAGCACCAAGGATAAAGGTAAGTTAGGCTCTGTTTACAAAAATAAGCAATACTCAACTTATTATGTATAAAATAAACTACAAGGATATATTGTACAACATGGGGAATATAGCCAGTATTTTATAATAATTATAAATAGAACATAACCTCTAAAACTTGTGAATCACTAAACTGTACACCTGTAACTTATATAATACTGTACATCAATTATACTTCAATAAATTTTTTTAAAAAATAAGTAATACTGCAGGCAAGGTGGGTCACAGTTGACTCTGAGGGAGCTAGACCAAACATGGCAATTCTGAAGGTTTGCAGGCAGCTTCTGGAGGGCAGCACTTGGAGTAGGGATTTTTGTTAAATTCTATTTCTTTGGTTCACAGGAGAACAGTACCAAACTCAGATAGTAGCCCCGCTGCTCTAAATCAGTGTTTTCCAAGTGCCATTGATTCATCTAATATTGCCACAATTTTTTCTCCGAGTGTTTTACAACTTACTATTTTTTCACTTAAATTTTTTTCATAAAAGCTGAATACTTTCCTTTTAACTTTAAAAAGTCCTACTTAAAAGAGAAACATTATAACAGAACCACATAAGTTAAGTATGTGTAAATAGAAAACTTGCAGCCCTTGCCTTAAGTAGAAAGTAACTGTAAAAATAAGCACATAAAAAAAGTACAACAATGATTTAGCTAGATATAATGTACTGTCTGCTAAAGGCAGTAGCTGAAGAGGAATACAGTTAGACAGTTTGTTTTCACAGGAGGCAGTTTGGATTTTAAGTACAATTGGAAATCATTGAAGGATTTTAAATAGGAAGAGACATGGACTGACTGGACAGTTTCACAACTCTCTCTTGGGAATTAAAAAAAAAAAGAAAAAAAATGAGAAAAGACAGAACAACTGAACAACTGAACAACATCATCATCCACTTTGACCTAATTACCAATTGTAAAACACAGTGCTCTATTAGAACTCTTGTGTATTACTGGTAGGAATCTGAAATGGTATAGTGCTGTGAAAAACAGTATGGTGGTTCCTCAAAAAAATCAAAATAGAATTACTATATGATCCAGCAACTCCACTTCTGGGTATATATTCTCAAAAACTGAAAGCAGGGTCGTGAAGAAATATCTGTACAACTATGTTCACAACAGCATTATTCACAAAAGCCAAAAAGTGGAAGGAATCTCAATGTCAACAACAAATGAATGAATAAGCAAAATACGGTATATGCATACACTAGAATATTTTCAGTCTTAAAAAGGAAGGAAATTCTGACACATGCTATATCATGGATGAACCTTGAGGACATTGTGCTAACTCAAGTAAGCCAGTCACAAAAAGTTTATCTTTTTGTCATACTGTATGATTCCACTTTATAAAGTACCTACAGTAGTCTAAAGCATACGGACAGAAGACAGAATGGTGGTTATCAGGTGCTGGGAGGAAAGGCGAATACACTACAAGAGAACAACTATTTCTGACCAAACTACAGCATAGTTTTTTTTCATTTCCTCTCTGTGCTGCACGCTACAAATGTACTGGTTTTTTCTGCACCACAATAACGTCTGTTTCCTGAATTGTTCTGCTATAAGTAGTAGATGGGAGACACAACTCAGTAAGACAGGCACTTTTATCCACTGCTGGGTGCAAATAAGTACATTTTTGAAAGACAATTTTATTAGATGTTATCAAGAGCCTTAAAGCCCTAACTCGGTAATCTTATTTAGGAGTTTACCCAAAGAAATCAGTAAGAGATGTGGCCAAAGATTTAGATTGGAAGTAATAAAAATATCTAACAGTACAAAAATTATTAAATAAACCATCATACAGCCATAGGGTAAAATATCGTATGTTGCCCTTAAATCAGGTTCCTGAAGAACACTTAAAAGATACTAGAAAATGCTTTTGTTAAGTATAATGAAAAAAGATATAAACTATACCTAGTATCACCATGATTTTGTGTTCATGTGCAAAAACAGATGTATATACATGAAAATTATATAACCACATTTACCTTGAAAATTATATGTTTATTTAGAAAAAAGACTGGAATATACCAAAAATACTATAAGAGTCTCTCTGGGTGCAAAGATGACAAGAAATCTGAATATTCTTTATGTTTTTTAGTATTTCTAAAATTTCTGCAAAAAGTACATTTTTATTTTAAAACAAAAAAAAAGATAAATAAAATATAAGCAAGACAGCACTCACCTTCTTTCTTTTTCTAGAAGAATTTCTCGTGGGGTCAGGCTTCTCAAACTCTGCTGACTTTGCCTCTTCCTTCTCCTCCTCCTCCTCAGGTATCAGTGAGTACTTGGTCCCACCTGGTTGCATGAAACAATCCTTTGCAAAGTGGCCTGTGGAAGAGACGTGGAAATGGTAGGGAGGGAAAAAGCAGTCTCTCCCCTTAGCAGGCCAACCTTCCCCAGACCGAGGCTCCTGAAAGGGGCTAGCTGGTTCAGGAGGTACTACTGAGTTCATTCAGAGCAGCTGTTGCATTCAGAGAAGATTTTCTGTCTCCTCAGGATGGCACTGCTCACTCAACCAGAGCTAGACTTGCAGCTGGTCCTAGAGCTGTGGGGAGCACTTGGCACCGCTTTGGAAATGGCACAGGATGTGAGGACACAGACTTGCGCTGCCCTCCATTAGCAACTGGGCTTAGTAACTTTTAAAGATCTATTTGGAACTCATTACTGACAATGCTGCTCCAGAGAGCACAACACTTAGCAGAGGGAGCTGAGCGACAGGCCAAGCCCTAAAGGAAGATAGCTCTTAGGCAACAGGCAGGAAGGCAGCACTCAGATTCAAGCTAACAGAGAGACAGCATGGTCACCTAGGGGCCCTCAACGTTCAGACTGTCAGGTCTGGCAAGGGCCTGAGAGATCAAGTCCTACACTGCATGTGCAGAGGATATGAAGGCACGGAGTGAAGCATCTAAAGGCCACACAGATAGCAGCAGAGCTAAAACATACCCCAGGTCTCATGCCTCTCTGCCCTGTGCTTTCTGCAGTACCAAAACCAACCACCTTTGGCCTGCCTGGGCCAAATTCCACTTCTCATTATTCTTCTCTACCTCATGTAACACCTGGTGGACACAAGCTGAAGTTAAGAGAACCCCAACCTCCCTGAGCCTATAGTGCTATTAAGGGGTCCCTTAACAGATGCTACGCAGCTGGTTTTTGTCTGAGTTTTTTGTAGATCCTGTCTCAGGAGCACAAAGAATTTGATGAGATCATCAAAAAGCTATATATAAACTACTTTGCAACTTGGAGTCCAGAAGCTGGATGGTGTCTGGAAGGAGAGAGAATACAGCATAAAGTTTTCCAAATATCTGGAATGTTCCTATAATTAAGAGTGAGGAAATATTCTTTCTCTCAAAATTTATTTTTCACTTCTTCCCTCTACTTTAATGATAAATTGGGGCTTAAACTCCACAACCTCAACCAAGGCAACCAGGGCTGCTACCAGTCATTTTAAAAAAATCAAGAGAGCAGGGTGGATGGAAGGCTAGGGTAAAGGGGTGACAAACTGATGTCCCTCTGAAAATGAGTGGCTGGCAATCCCTCTCATTATAGCTCCAACAAAGGAAGTCAGGCTGAAAAAGCTCTTTAATATTTGAGTAGAACTAAAGAAGACCTGAGGAAACAGAGCTAAAAGGAAGTGACTAGCCGGTATTCTCTACTACTAAAAAGATACTGTATTCAGAACTCTGAAGTTAAAGAGATAAAGGTAAGCAAGAAAGGGTTTGACTTGGATTCTTAAAGGCTGTATTTCCAAGTTGCTTAATTTTTGAAGCAAAACAATAATGGTCCTTCGAGATAAAAACTGAGTGTTAGTCATAATCCAACACTCTTACCTCTCCTCGCATAGTATCTGAGGACCTTGTACAGGCAGGGCATCAGCTGTGGAGAGAGGGGAGTCGTGATGGTGGTATAGTATCCGGCAGGAACAGAATTCAAAGGAACAGAAAAAGCATCAAGCCATGAACTCCGATGTGAGTCTAGTAGGAACAGTAGAATAGCAGGTGAGGCTGTCACTTGGCTAAAAAACAGAGTGAGCTAAACACACACTGGGTGGCTTCCCTCATGCAGTAAAGGGTCTGTCTGTAAGGAGAGAAAAACTGAAACAGCAAAGGCTTCGCCTTACCTTTACAGCCACACTTCTTGCAGGTAGTGTTCAGGACAGCCTCGAGGGTAATCTTCTGCCCAGTGTAATCCTGGAAGGACCGCCTCCGCCTCTCTTCTTGCCTGTAATGAAAAGGATACTGACTGCTGGCCCTCTTAAGAGATGTGGTCAGAAACACTACAAGTTAATACTGTATGTTGGTTTTTTGCTTTGTTTTTGGTGGGTAGAAGGGAGAAAGAAGGAAAAGCACCAAGCCTAAGGAGACAGGCAGTGAAAGCAATGTGAAATAGACAACTTTTCTCATTCAGGACAAGGCTCTGAATTAATAATTATAAATGAGACTAGATTTCATCTCCCTGATGTACAGGGGATGAAGTTATAATTACTCACCCCACTAAGCCCACTACAACCTTTACAAGGTCACTCCTGGGTTTAAAAGACCTTCAGTGACTTCCTAGAAAATCAAGTCCAAATTGTTTACCTATGTATTCAAGGCCTTTCACAGTCTGTCGCTAACCTACTTTCCAGGCTCATCTTCACTTGTACAATATGCTCTGGCCAAACCAGACTGTTCTACTTTCTCCAGATGGTTCACTGCTTTTGCTTAGGCAGTTCCCTCTTTCTGAAATGCTCTGCTTCCCCTCTTTACTCCCTCCTCACCACCTAACTACACCCAAACACTTCAAGGCTCAGCTCAGTTACTGCCTCTCCTTCTATCAAGTCTTCTTTCCTGAGCCCCTCAACCAGAATTATCTCTGTTCACATTCCCGTAACACTTTAAAAATATTCTAAACATTTGACCAAAGTATAATATACATAGAGAAAAGTGTTCATAAACACACAGCTTGACTGATTTTCACAATTTGAAATACCCATGTAACTGGTACTCAGATAAACAGAACATCACCAGCACCTCAGAAGCCCCTCTGGTCACCATGCCTCCCTCCCCCAAGGGTAACCACTATTCTAATTTCTAACAGCATAGATTAACTTTACCTACTTTTTATGAACTATATGAATGGAATCACAGTATGGACCCTTCTGTGTCTGGCTTCTTTCACTTATTTGTGAGAGCCAGCCATACTGCTGTGTGCAGTTGTGGATCATTCATTCTCACTGCTGTAAAGTATTTTGCTATTGATGTGCATTTGAGTGATTTCTATTATGAACAGTGCTTCTGTGAACCTTCCAGCACATGTCCTTCGGTGAACATATATGTGTATATGCATTTCTGTTGGGAAGTGCCTGGTTCCAAGTAGGAGTGGAACTACTGGGTTCTAGGGCATCTGCTTTAGGAGACACCACCAGACTGTGTATTTACCAATTACACCTCTACCAGCAGAGGCTAAGCATCCCAGTTGTCATAGCTCTTGTTTCTTACCCTTCCTCTAACACACAGGACCTGCAGAGCAGGTACTCTTGAAAATGTTTAACTGAAGAATATCACCCCGATCATTCTTTCTTGCAAACTCTGTATTCTACACACACTTCAATCCTAGCACATATCACAGCAAATTTACGTTTCTTCTCTAGATTGTGGGCCCTTTAAAAAAATATCTTACTTGCATTGGTTTACCTGGCACCTTAGCCCAAGGCTTGGCAAGCAATAGCATCAATAACTCCTTATTGAAATTTCTTTATTCTTCATCCAAAATATTTTCCTTTACCTGAACATCTTTAGCTTTGAACTCTGACTCCACCTAAGAATTTCTCACTGTTCACCAGGTCTCTGTAGAGTCTAGCAAAAACAGAGAACTATCCTGCCAAAAGAGCCACATTACCCAGAGAAATGCAGGGTAACAATATCAAAGCAGAATAAAGCCATCTACTTCACATATTTTAGCCAACAGTTTCATGGGATGCGTGGGCTCAGGAGAAGAAACAGAGAGGATAAAGGTACTCAGGTCCTCCATATTCTGTCCCAGTTATTCTTCAAAGTTCAGCTAAAATATTGCATCCTCTATAAAATGCTGCCTGCTACCATAGGCAGAGTTACTCATTTTATTTTACTAGGTTTGTTTTACATTCTGCCTCACCCTCTGTCCTATGAGTAACAAAAACCAAGCTGAGGAGAGTGAAGAAGGGAATGATGACGTATCAACAGCCATAAAGTCTCAGTTAAGGAAGATAGTAAGTTCTAGAGAGCTAATGTAGAACATTGTACCTATAGCCAACAATACCGTATCACACACCTAAAATTTTGTTAAGAGGGTAGATCTCATGTTAAATGTTCTCACTATACTAAAATTAAAAAAACCCAACAATAACAAACAAAAAAACAAGGTAGGATCTTGGGGACATAACCTGAACAGTCACAAAAACTCCACGGCTTTCAGATGACCTTGTTTATAGAACTGAGTTTCAAGTGGCTATGAGTTACAGCTTAAGCAAACCCTCACTGTAATTAATTCCAATACTCTGTGGATTCAAACAAACTATAAGCCAAATCAAACCTCCTACCTGACACTCCATTCAACAAATGTGTCACCACAACATGTCTCCCTTTCTGTCCTTATCGCCATCATGCTAGTTTAGGCTTCATTACATTTCACCTAAACGGTAACAGTTCATTTACCAGTGTCCCAGCCCCTAATCCAGCTAGCACACATAGTTGGATTAATCTTTTTTTTTAAGTTTAACTAATAAATGGCAAGCACCAACGCTAGTACTAATGATACGAGTAAATATATTAAAATGATAGGACATGGTCTTTTTCCTCAAAGAGTGGAGGGCAATATATAAACAGATAATTTCAGTGTGGCAGTACATAAACGTTCTTTCTAAAGACTATACTATGCTGGCTAAACCTAACTGGAAACTGTACTTAGCCCCATTCCATTTGCAGATTCCCTTATTAGATGACCTTGTTAATACTTTGGGGCCTGAGGGAATGAAACAGACGACAGCTAGATCTTGATGGAAAATGAAAGGTAGTTGAGGCAAACTGTGGGTAGCTGGAAAGAGCATGAAGATATTGAGCCTAATGGAGTGAGGCCAGAGAATGAGGTACCTGGAGAGAATAATTTGATGAGGAATGTCTCCCAGTCAAAGGCTTTTTAAAAATTCATATTATTTGACTGACATTCAGAGCTCTCTGCAATCTGCCCCCAACATACCTTGCAAGCCTTACATTCTAGTACTTCACTACACCCTCTTCTTTCCTTAAGCGAGACTCTTGAATATGCATGTGCTTTCCTGCCTCATGCTTTTCCTCAAACTATTTCTTCTGCCTAGAATACTATTCTTTCTCTTGCTGTCTAACAAAATCTTATCCATTCTTCAAGACCTAGCTCAACTGCCACTTCTTCTCTATAAGGGCCTCATATCAACTCTTCCTCTTCAAGCTAATTTCTAGAATCCTTCCCTTATGCCACTCTTTTAGCACTTATTACATGTTGCCTTATGTTAAAGTTATTTGCATAATTATTTCATTACTCCAGGCAGTAATGTCCTTAGGTGGAAACCCTGGTAATGCCATTTTACCTCAAACAGAGTATGAACCCAATGTATACTTGTTAAATGAGTAAATGGATGCACTAACTAAATGACTACTACACACCAGGCACTATGGGAGACAATAAAGATAAGAAGTGACCCTTGTTCTCATGGGTCTTATATATTCTTTCAAAAGAAAGGGTATATATAACCTCAGATATTAGAGGAAAAACAAAGAAACACTTTATAACAATAACTACAAGTAGCTACTGTATATTAAGTTTCTACTATAGATCAGACAATAAGCTAGGCTCTTTATAAACAAGATTTTATTTAAATTGTACCATCATTTCTGAGATGTAGGTGTCATTACCTCCATTTTATAGTGAAGAAGTTGAGGTTCAAAGAGGCTAGGTAATCTGCTCAAGGTCAAATACTAGCTTGGGCAGAACGAGGACTCTTTCTGACTCAAGTCTAATTCTAAAACCTGGGGGGAGGATATAGCTCAAGTGGTAGAGCACATGCTTAGCATACACAGGGTCCTGGGTTCAATCCCCATGTACCTCGTCTAAAAATAAAAGTAAACTTAAGTATACCCCTCCAAATAAATAAATAAATAAATAAAAATAAATAAATAGAATTAAACAAAAACAACAAAAAACCCTATCATTATTCCACTATGTGATGCCGCCTTCCTGGATGCAGTCTAGAAATAGCTGCATAAAAACAGGGAGTCCTTTCTCTTCCCTACCCTTGTTGTGACAAAGGCAGCTCTTTTATCTTACTTATTTTATATTTCATCCTTATAAGGGTGAGCTTGGGAAATCTCACTGCTTTTTGATGAGTCTGTATACACAGGGTTCTTTGGGCCAGAAGTCATTTATTACAATGCATTCAATCAATGCTAGGCTTAAATAACACTTCTGAATTACAATAGATTCCTAATGTAAGTGGAAAGTATCTATCACTAATCAGGCCTACAAACATCAATATTTAGAGACTAAACTACAGAAACATGAAAAACTCTGTAAGTCACATGAGACACCTAGAAACATCCTGTGGTGAAAGGGCATTAGTTTAACATCAGGGAGACCCAGATTCAAGTCCCTGACCCACTATAACTTGCCATACAACCACAGGCAAGTTATCACCAAGCATCAAGCTAGAAACTAAGAAAATAAAATAAAATGGGGATAACACCCACTTTGCAGGTTGTTATGAGAAACAGAGGCATTAATGTACATAAACCACCTTGCATAATGTCTGGCATATAGTATGTATTCAATAAATATCACCTCCCTTCCTTTTAGGTAAATTTCTTTTGTATCCAAAATGATTTTGCTCAGAACTATAAACACACAGGTTTCCAAACATTTTGCCACCAAGATCCCATTCAAACAACATTTAATTTTTTTTTCTTGTTTTTAAAAAATTAGTAAATAACATGATGGCCACTAAGAGCACTTGATTAGCATGAGATAAACAATGTGATATTTTATTATCAGAAGCAACAAAATAATGTCACATTTAACCTGAGGATAAACGTATGATTTTAGTTGTTTTCTAAAACACTAGAAACAGTTCATAAACCCCCAAGACTCCTTCAAGGGATCTTAGGGATCTAGGAACCCCTGGTCAGAAATCACTGGCATATACAGGCATACCTCATTTTACTGTGTTTCACAGATACTGCATTTTCTACAAATTGAAGGTTTGTGGCAACCCTGAGTTGAGCAGGGCACTATTGGCACTGTTGGCACTATTTTTCAAACAGTATTTGCTCACTTTGTGTTTCTGTGTCAAATTTGGTGAATTTGTAATATTTTAAACTTTTTCATTACTATTATTATTAGATCTGTTACAGTGATCTGTGATCAGTGAACTTTGATGTTACTACTGTCACTGTTTCAGCATTTTTTAGTAATAAAGTATTCTTTTTCTTTTTTTTTCAAATGGAGGTACTGGGAATTGAACCAAGTATCTAGTGCATGTTCAGCATGCGCTCCGCCAACTGAGCTATACCCTCACCCCCAATGAAGTCTTTTTTAATTAAGGTACATACATTGTTTTTTAAACATGCTATTGCACACTTAATAGACGAAAGTGTAAACATAACTTTTATACACACTGGGAAACCAAAAAATTCCTGTGACTTGCTTTATTGAGATATTTGCTGTATTGAGGTGGTCTAGAACCAAACCCACAGTATCTCTGAGGAATGCCTATATTCAAGAAAGATTGAGAGATAGACAGAAAATTCCCTGAATCATCAGACAGTAGCTTACATAGATAGAAAACCTTTCATTCCTAGGTGAAAGGTCAGAAGAGCCAGTGAAAGTAAGGTATTGTGTTCCCAAGATGTAGGAGTCTAAAACCCCACTGGAGTTGCTCCTCCCATGCGGTCGCAACATTTTTTTCAGCCCTAGAGCTAGGAGAAAGGCAAACAGAAGGTATCTCATGAATGCTTGTTCACAGTCAAAGGGTAGAAGCAGAGAAAGAGTAAGAGGAAGGAAATGAAACCACTGATAAGAGTACTTCTATGCTAGGAGCTGCACGTTTGCATTTCACCTTAGAACTTTATGCAGTAGAGTGTTGTTTATAACACTTTATACCTCTAAAACCCAAAGATTACATAACTCATCAATGTCACAGTCTATGTATGGTAGAGTTCCCAGGCAGGCCTGATTCACTAGAGCATTCTGTGGTTTGAGAGGTAGAAGGACTTTAGCCTTTCCAAAACTTTTACCTACTCAATGATAACGTTGTTGGGATCAAGGTCCTTCCCAGTCCCTTGGTTGACAACTTTCATGGAAAGGGATACTTTTATCCTATCATTTTTCATCTGAAAAAGACAGAAGCAAAGTCAGCAAAAGCTCAACATACATCATTTAGACTGCTACTCTAAAATTATCTAAGAATTGACGTAACAAACACTGAGCTCCTCTAATGGCTGAAGTCCTGTGCTAGGAAAGTTGCGGGTACTAATATGCATAACAGGCAGATCCTGGGGCAAAAGCCTTTTAGGAAATAGTTTTCATCTCATTCTGACCCTCCTGAAAGGAAAGACAAAAATGGCTGCTCAGAAATCCAAGGCCTGTGGAAGTAACCAGATAGAAAATAACAGGTATTTCTTTCAGATAGTTCAGCGTAATAATTGGTTTGGAGATTCAGGAATGTAGAATGGGTTTCAGAACATTCCAGTAGACTAGGTCTCTTGGACTTCGTCTAAAAGCTTCTTAAACATGAAGACGAGTAAGAGCATCTTTAAACATGAAGATAATTGTTAGCCACTTTGGTCTTCTTTCACTTCCTCTAGCACTTGAAGGCCCCCTTCACTTTGGGGTCTTTGCATCAGCTACTTACTCTCTTTGCCTGGAATATTCTTATCCCAACTTCACATGACTAGTTCCTTTCTCTTTACCATCCCCCATAAAGTCTGTTCCTGACCACTTTATCTAAATCTACCTCAGATGCTGTCTGAACCTATTAAAACACTTACTGTAACCTGTGATTATTTTAGTATGCTTACTTTTTGTCTCCTCCAGTTATATGCTATGTAAGTTCCATAACCGCTGGAGTCATTCATGTTTGGTTAACTCTTATATCCCTCAGACCCAGTACATATTAAGCACTCAAATGTTTTTGAATAAATCTCTTTCAGGCCTGTCTTCCCTGCCATTCTCAGCTAAAAAAACAGGCTTCAGTGTATGTGCACATTTCTCTTGTGGTCTGCCCACACCCACAGCCCCTTAAGTGAGTTTTTTAACAGGGACTTCCAGTGCTTTCTCACTTCCCTCACATTGCATGGTATCAGGTATTAAGAAAAATGACTGTAAACTCTGTCCTTTTTTGTTTTGGTCCACACTGAAGTGCACCTGGCAGCTCTGTGATAAAAGCCTGGCCCACAGATTAAGTTTTCTCTCTTTTTGGTTCTTTATTTTTTTTGGTTTTTTTCTTCACACCCACCATTTGGGTGAATTTCAGGGAGGGACGTTTTATAAACATGTATTTATTGCACCACACTTCTTACTGGTCACACCATTCCTTCTGAGTTTGCATGACAGACAGCCAAAAGGTTTAAATTCAGGTCAGATTACAGCAGCAGGAAAATAAGATTATCAGCCACAGTTAACAAAAGTACACACACTCATGAAATATCATCAGGAAATACTAAGAAAATATCAGCTTTTCCTAAACCTTTTTAAGCAGTTAAAATTGTAGAGAATTTTACCTCTCGGCCAATAAGCTTCACCCACACTTTGTCTCCGACATCTACTATCTCAGAGGGCTTGTCCACGCGACAGGATGACATGTGAGTTCGATGGACCAGACCTGGGCACAAGGAGAAGAAAGGAAATAAAGCACAAGGCATGTCTGGTATTCATACTCTAAATAACACAGTAAGGAAAAGATAGGAGCTGGGGATTTACTAAAAAAGTTTTTGTTAATTTAAAACTGCAAATTAAAACAACTGAGGTCACTTTTTATATCTAATCAACTGACAAATATTCTTTAAAATAATGCTCAATGTTAGTACAGATGTGATACAATAACTACATTTATATAACACTGGTAAAAATACAAGTTGGTCAAATTCTTTGAAAACAAAGGGCACAAAGATGTTTTTATCTTTGATGCAAGAATATCACCATTGGAATTTTTCTAAAATAAAACTCAATTGAGGCAAAAACCTATGGCATATAAAATACTTCCAGTATTATTACATACAGAGGTTAAAAGTAAAAATTATAAAACAGCCTAAATGATCAATAATTGGAAAACAGCTTGGTAAATTATGATAAGTTTTTCAAAAGGAAGAGTAAATAGCCATTAAATTGAAGTTACAGAAAGTAATTATGATAGGTGTTAAGTGAAAAAAGGAAATATAAACAAGGAGCCATTTTTAATCTATTAAATTAGCAAAATAAATTTAAAAAATAAAATTAATAATATCCAATGTTGATGAGACTATAGTAAAATAAGAAATATTGCTGAGGTTAATATAAATTTTTAGAAATCATTTAGCAATGACTATCAAGAATGATAAAATATTTAATAAAATTAAATTAAATTAAAATATGTAATAATTATTAAACAACTTAATAATGACATTTAATAAAATATTTATAGTAGACATCATTTTCCTGTCTGACCAAGGTCCTTTCCTGGGAGAACTGTCTTTCTTACATTCTATAAAGTAACCTGGTCAGTCCTTGTAATTTGGTTGGAGCTGACCTAACTCCCAACTGTGGGCATATGACACAGGCTTAGTCAATCAAGGTACTTCATCCCCCTGGTCACAGTAATTGACTGGTTCAGGGACAGACACAAGACACTAGCTAAATCAAATCATTTGTCTCAAGACTTCTGTCAAAAAGTTAGCAATATCCATCTTTACCACTAGGTGGCAAAAGTCAGCCAGAAGGAAGCAAAGAAGAGCTTGCATAAACAAGAGACAAACTCCTGAAGGCAAAAACTGAGCACCTGATCCAGCCCTGGGGGAAGCCAGATTTATCCTGCACTCCCCAGAAAAATTAGCCAGAAATTAGGCAAAATGTTTCTCTTGTGTTTCTGTCCCTTGCAACCAAGAGTTCGAATAATTATCTTGACCCATAATCACTTCTGAGACTAAGAAAATCATCTTACACATAGAAAAATCTACATGTATCTAGAAAAGTGATCTACATCAAAATATTCAACGTATTTTTACAACAGAAAAAAATCAGATTAACAACCTAATATCTAGCAATAGGGTAATGGTCAACTATGGTACATGTAGCCACATGATGGTCCAATAAAAACAATGTTCAAAAGATTATGTAAAAATACATAAATAATTCATTCTTTCGTAAATATTTATCGAGTGCCTACTATGTGCCAAGCTCTACAGGCAACTAGCATTTTCTCATTTAAATAAGAAAAATGATTAAAATAGATTCTAAAAATTAGGAAGAAATAATCTAAAATACTATAATAATGGTTATGCTAGGGTATAGGATTACAGGTTAATTTTTTCTTTTATTTTTAAATGTTTTAATAATAGAGAAAATTTTATCTATTCTGAGGGAAATGAATATAATGTACAATTATTTTGAATGAAAATAAACCAGGCATCTACAGAAAAATCTTGATAAGTCAAAGATCAATATCCAGAAAAACTGCCCTTCCTGAAGTTTCCTGGGAGAATTACTAATCTTTACTCTCTCTCAGTCTCTTTCTCACACATGTGCATCCACAGGGCTGCACCCAAAGTATCTGCCCTCTCTGGAGCTCCTATGCGAAGCTACTGCCTTCTCTGATCATGGTTATTCGTTCTCTCAGACCTACTTCAGCTGATTCTGGAGGCTGATATATCTCTCTGTATACCTCCAGAGCCAAAATGTTTTATATACATTATATAAACACATTTTAAATTTTAGACCATCACATTATCTCCAAATTGGATAAAATTCATGGAGCTGGGCTTTTTTCTTTTTCATGATGGTATAATGAGCAGACTAGCCTAATTGGAAAGTCAGGAGAGGAAATTCAGATACCCTAAAGGAAAGGAAACCTTTCACTTTGACATGTTTTTGCTGCAACTGTCCTCTAATTCTAAAATTTACTTCTTTCCTGGATGCTAACGGAAGTTATGACGAAAATTAATGTTGAGTCTAATATACTTGAGAGAACACTTTTTCCCTTTCCTGAAACAGGCCTATTTATTGGAGTACTACGAAGAAGGAAATAATGAATTAACCATTTGTCCTTCTCTCACTGATCCCAAAGCAGGATATATTTTGGCCCAAGCATCACTCTTAGTTAAATATGACACTTCTCAAAGCATTGATAATGAAAAATTACAAACAACTTAAAATGATTATGTGGTACATCTGAACAACAGAATAATGCCATTTAAATGTTTACAAAAAGTATTTTAAAAGATAAAGGAATGTTTAACATTCATTAAGTGTAAAAGCTACAAAATGGATATATAGAATATACCCTTAATCTCAATATGCTCATTTTTATGCACATATGTGACTATAAATAAATATACTGAAATATTAATGCCTATCTCTATGTGCTAGTAATATCACATAATTATTATTTGCTTTTGTAGTTTTTTCTTATTTTTCTATAAGCATGCAATATTTTTAATCATAAAAACCAAAATATATATTTTTTAAAGCAAAATGTGAAAATGATATGCACACTATGATTGAAATTATGTAAAACTACGTCTCATGTGGACACAGATGAAAAGGGAACATAAAAATAGTTATGCTAGGGTAAAGGGTTTTTATAGTTGAGGCATTAATGGCTCATCTCCAAAAGGCCTTAGCTTTTTTTGGGGGGGGGGTGTAATTAGGTTTATTTATTTATTTATTTATTTATTTATTTAAGTGGAGGTACTAGGGATTGAACCCAGGACCTCATGCATGGTAAGTACACACTCTACCACAGAGCTATACCCTCCCCACAAAAGGCCTTAGCTTATTAGGTGAATTAAACAAGGGAAATGATCTAGCTCATGGTCTTGAATGTGAATGTCAGGTAGGTAGTTGGATATGTACGTCTAGCTCAGAGGAGGGGTATCAACTGAAGATACAAATGTAGGAGTCTTCAGCATGCAGATGTTTATATGCTAAAATACATTAATCAGACTATGAATTTAGTATTGGTTAGGAGACAGACACAATTCACCAATTTATTAATTTACAATAGAGGATATACTTCTCTTATATCTGGAAGGTTCCAAATCCTTATCTAGGTAAACTACCTACTGACCCCAGTATCAAATACCTGAAAATTAAATTAGTGATCAGAAATTGCTTCAACATGGAATCAGAACAAGAGGGAGACAAACGTTTTGAGAAATGTTTCTAGTCCATGAAGGTTTAATGGACTATCACTTTCTCATAAAAGAATCCATCTCTCTAGTTCCTATCATCAGGTTCATTTCTGCCTTAGTAAAGCAAGATAAATACTGCCAACTTCAGGCTCTCAGGCTTCTTTTACTGTGTTCCAGAGGCTGATTATCTGTTCATATAATCTCCCCCTAGATAGAATGATACAATCAATTAGATTTCAGCCTCCTAAATGCAATTTCATTCCAATCTCTTTTCCCTGGAATTAAACCCAGATTATCCTATGAAGTCTTGAATGCTCCCATCTCTTCAGTCACAGATTTACAGGCAATTACCTGGTATACGTCTATCTATGGCTAATCCTATATACTCTGTATAGGGGATTCAACACTAGTTTCATTCTCAGAAGACAGTCTGAATTCTTGGGCAGTACTTCATTGATACCCATATACACCACCAAAACTTGAATTAAGTGTATGTGGTAGAGAGCATCAAATAAAACATGAGACTCCCTCATTCGGTGCTGGGTACCTCACTAGATACAGTACATCCACTGATTCATTTAATCCTTACATCAGCCTGTGACATAGGTTCACATGAGGAAACAATCCAGAGGTTAAGTAAATTGTTCAAGGACACAAGCTGATAAAGAACTGCACTTCAAATATGACTCTGTCAGGTCTTCTAAAACATACTGATATTTCTCCATTTTCTCTTTATTATTAATCTGTTATCTTTTCAATTAAAGAGAGAAAGATGATCTCATCTACAATAGCTGGAACACATCTAATTCTGTTCTAGCATATGCTCCAAGACAGAAACAAAAATGCTTTGCTCATCATGCCACATGGAAGAGCACAGTTTGTGCCTGGATTTAAGCCATAAATGCCCAAAGGGCATATCAAGTCCATCATCACATTCAATAAACCCAACACAACACTTAAACAGAATGAGTCCCATCTGAGGGTCTGCTGGGAGAAGAAAAAAAAATCTGACAACGTGAAAAGAGCTAGCATCTCAATCATCATATGAGAAAAATAGAGATAGCCTATTATAGTTCCCTTAAAAATATTCTCCCAACTGTGTTAGGTTCAACTTAATTTCTTTCACAAATTCCATTGACAATAAAGGAAAGAGGTAAAAATTACAATCCAGTAGAGGAAAGCTGAAGCCAAAAAATGTCAAAATAAGAGATTTCCTTTACCTTTGGGGGATCTGAATTCCCTCTCTAGACTTTTCAAATAAGTTACCTCCAATCAGCAGGATATGACAATAATGTAAGCACATAAGTTAAAGTGCTTTCACATCCTTTATCTTGTTGGGATTTTGGATTCATTCAAACATTTACTAAACACCCACTATCTTGTAAGCAAAAAATGGATCCAAGGATGAGTAAGACATGATCCTGCCAGTTAAGAAACTCTAAAACACACACATCCTTCCCATTTCACAGATGAAGACACTAAGGCTCAAAAACTAAGC